GGTTTGGTTGCCCTTTCTCGGTGGAGAAGGTTTGGTTGCCCTTTCTCGGTGGAGAAGGTTTGGTTGCCCTTTCTCGGTGGAGAAGGTTTGGTTGCTCTTTCTTGGTGGAGAAGGTTTGGTTTCTTGTTGGTGGAGAAGATTTGGCTGCCCTTGGTGGAGAAGGTTTGGTTGCCCTCTCGGTGGAGAAGATTGGGTCACTCTTTCTTGGTGGAGAAAGTTTGGGTTGCCCGTAGTGGAGAAGGTTTGGTCGCTCTCTTGATGGAGAAGGTTTGGTCATCCTTGGTGGAGAAGGTTTGGTTTCTTAGTGGAGAAAGTTTGGTCGCTCTTACTTGGTGGAGAAGATTTGGTTTCTTGTTGGTGGAGAAGATTTGGTTTCTTGTTGGTGGAGAAGATTTGGTTTCTTGTTGGTGGAGTAGGTTTGGCTGCCCTTGGTGGAGAAGGTTTGGTCATTCTCTTGGTGGAGAAGATTTGGTCGCTCTTTAGAAGTCTGAGTCTTGCCAGGATGGGTTCTGGGGAGCTTCAGCCCCAAAAGCTCCTGGAGGGAGCTGGAGGAGCAAATCCCAACCTCGGCTCAGCCCCCGCTCCCAAAAACTTGGGGATTTTCCTGTGCCAGGGATTCGGAGCTCCTGGGAAGCGCCGGGCTGGGGTTGTCCCCAGCAGCCGTGTCCCTCTGCCGGTGGCTCCCAGGGACGGGACCAGGAGGACTTTTGGGAACGGGAGAAGGAGCGCTGCCTTTGGACAGGGGCGCCGAGAGCAAGCCCCCCAAAATATTGACTGGAATCATCTATTGGGAACCAAATATCGAGTGGGAAATAGTAATTATGAGATATTGACTGTGAAACAATTAACTGGGGAAAAAAATAATTAAATGTGGAAAAGGATATTAATTGGGAAATGAATGCTGACTGGGAAGTAATGACCGGGAAACAAATATTGAGTGAGAAATATTAACTGGGAAACAAATATTAACTGTGACACAAATATTGAGTGAGAAATATTAACTGGGAAACAAATATTAACTAACTGTGACACAAATATTGAGTGAGAAATATTAACTGGGAAACAAATATTAACTGTGACACAAATATTGAGTGAGAAATGTTAACTGAAGGGAAAAATGTTAACTGGGAAATATTAATGGAAGCAATAACTCTGAAACAAATGCTAACTAGGAAATAATAACGGGGGAAAATTTAATTTGGAAATAAATATTAGCGGGGAACAAATATTGAGTGAAAAATGTTAACTGGGAAATATTAACTGGGGGGAATATTAACTGGGAAATATTAACTGGGGGGTAAATTAGCTAGGAAATATTAACTGGGAAATATTAACTGGGGGGGTAAATTAACTGGGAAATATTAATTGTGCAATAAATATTAACTGGGAAAAAATATTGAGTGAGAAATATTGAGCTGAGAAATATTAATTGGGAAATACTGAGTGTGAAACAATTAACTGTGAGGGAAAAAATAAAATGTGTTAATTAAAAAGTGTTAACTGGGAAGTAAATACTAACTGGGAAGCAATGACTGTGGGAAGAAAAATATTAACTGGGAAATAATAATGGTGGAACAATTAATGGGCAATGATAACTGTGAAGCAAATATTGA